AAAGAATCTGATGTCGTGAAATCAGAGACTTGGCTGGATGATGAGAGACTGTTAAAAACATCCTGACTCAATCGTTCAGGTGTTAATAATTTATTTTTTTGTAACACAATATCAATTTCTAAACCAGACATAAGCTGTTTTGCATGTGCAAAGGCTTTTGAAATAATTTCATCTATGTCAATATCAACTATATCGTCCAGGTTCAGAGTAGTTCGTGAGGAATCTTCTTTTTTGCCATGTTTATGGTGACGAGGGAAACTGATTTTAAAGTCTTTGTTTTCAATTTGAGTAGTTTTAATGTAGTTTAATGCCGTAACTTTTTCTGTTCTATGTAGAAAATCGTACACTGAAAAATTGATCATTGTAGACTGTGTTCCAGTCAATGATCGGGTATTGCGAAACATTCCTTCACAGGGTTGTGAACTGAATAATGGAATTTGTAACGATTCTATTGGCAAAATATTCGTTTTTACTAATAGAACCAAATACAGCAGACTATGAGCATTTAACTCAACGGAGTAATATGCTGATGTTGTGATGAATAATATTTCTTTACTTTTACGATCAAACGATTTACATTTCAACCAAGTCTTCCAAATACGGTACACAAAAACGGCACTCCATGCCAAGAATAGACGATCAGTAATAGATGTAGAGTTTGAAATATAAGCATCAATAATATACTTAAGTAGTTTTAAATAGACGAAAGTAGCCGAAGTATTTTTATTTTCTTGTAAGATTTTTAAAACACATACTGATGAAATTTTTTGACAAGATCGAAAGTTCTGACGGTCTGCAGGAATTAGGTCAGACAATACTAAGCTATGTTCAATTTTGCTATCAGCTTTTTTAACGATATCCACGAGATCTTGAACGGAAATCTTTTGATTACCCATAGTCAACTGAGCAGATAAAAGACGATTGCCCCACTTTGTGGCGAGATGTACCGGATCTTGAACAAAAAGCAGCAATTGTTTAGGACGTAAATAAAACCAAGACCATCGTTTAAGAATGACGATGTCGAAAGCTTCCGTACGTTCAAAAAAATCGATATTCGGCAGTCGGGCGAAGAAACCGAGAAGAAGTCGCATAGCCTTCAAATATTTGCTGTCACAATTTAGTATGAGAAAACGACAAAACTATTGTCTCTAAGACTGAAATAAGCAGAGCTCAAGTGCCTAATAGACTCCTCATTACGAGAGCGTCAAAATGAGATTTTAAAAAATTTCCAAGTCATCCGTTTAGGAAAAATTCAGTTTTGGCTTTGAAAAGTAGATGATTCGACGCAGTTTTATCTACTTTATCAAACGAGATGTTGCTGAATTTCCGAATACGAAATGACGGAGAGAAATGTAAAATACGGAAGACGTCACTTTTTGACGGTTTTTTTAAAAAATCCGTAACTCACAGCGAAACATCTGGAAGTCTAACAATTTTTCCAGGCGAACTACAAATATCTTTTTTATTCTGTGCTATCCGTTAGAGTTAGTTCGAAGTCTGTCACCTGTAATCCATCTATATCGACTAATTCATCATTTAGATACGTGGCATTTGAAAATTGTTATTTCACTCTTTCTAAATCGTCATCGTCAATTAATACTCTTTCATGATTACCGAATATTAATAGTTTGTGTTTAAATGGTAACGAGCCTAGCCACATATTAAAATCATCAATTCCACCACCTTGCGATCGAAATGTACCACCATAATTTGTGAAATCGCCAGCATGAAGTAGAATGTCGCCGTTGACAATGCTGGATAGTTTTTCGGTTAATTCACGATGACGTTGATGAGTATCACTAATACAGTAGATTGTGAACTGGTTTTTCATGATTTCTAAAAATAAGTAAGGATATAAATATATAAAGAATAAAATACTTGCAATAGTGATGTTAATCATGAAAGTCATTTGCTTTTCCCTATAATACTTCTAGCAAAGATGATCTCCGAATACGGCTAATCGCGTGACTCTGCTACCGGTGTATGAGTGCATTACCCTTTTTCTATTTTTCTTTGTATCACAGTATTAACAGGAAACATTCCAGAAATATGAGGGACGTCTAACTTTACAGCTAAAAGTCTGCTTTTCGAAATATTTTGAAAAGCACATTTTTAGCTATAAAGTTAGACGTCCGTTATATTTCTGGAGTGTTTCCTGTTAATACTGTAGGAGAGAACTTGTTCTTCAAAGAACAGGTTTTTCAAGAAGTTCCAAAAACTAAAGAACACAAACGATGAAGATAACATTTTGTGAAGAACAACACTTTTGTTTTCCAGATTTTTGATCTCTGTAGAGGACAAATTGTTCTCTGAAGAACTCATTTTTTAAGAACTACCAAAAAGTTGAA